TGCAACATTCTCTGACTGGAAGAAATTTGTTTAACATTTAAACCTATTTTCTGCACATAAAATTTTTTTTTTTTTTGTGTTTACACTCAGTCTTTCAAATAGATGCAAGTAAAACACAGCAGAAAATAAATAAAGTCAAAGACTCAGCGGTCCTTTTGCTCTATTTACACCTGTAAAGCAGGAGGCATCTTCTGCTATAATATAATAAATGCTGAATTAAATGTCTGTAGTGCAACTCTGTGTTTTAGCTGACGTAGTTTGATCAGATCAGAGTCGCTGTAGCAGGAACGCCGTCGTCAGAGTTGAGGACCGAGCAGTAAAGCAGCGTTTTGTGCGGCACTGTGAAAGGATGTTAATGTTTTTATAATTTCCTGTTTCTTGCGAAGCTGCTGGAAACTTTTTGAGCCAAACCACAGGTTTTTCACTTCATCTCAGTATCGTCTATGTTCGCCCCCACCTTCACCTCCGTGTTCACGGCTCAGTCACAGATACATTTATGCTAACATGCAGCCTTCTGCATGTCAGAGAATAACTCCTGTGTTATCCAGGAGCCTCACTGTCCACTCTGTGAGGTCTGCCGCCTGTCCAAGGTACATCAAGTGTCCATCTTTTAACTACAGCTGGTTAACCCTCAGCGTGTGTGGCTGAGGTTTAACGGGTCAGTTCACCTATTTTATGTGTGAAGCTGCTCAGACAGCGTGTGCTACATTTCATGAATCAGCTGTGTTCACACAAGGAAATGATGCACTTCCTGTTTGGTTGTGAAAAAGATGTGATGATCTTTCCTCTTTTTTCAGCTCTGAAGAGTGGACAGATCGAAATCTCTGTGTCTGCAGCAGGATCAGCGAAGGCTTTGTGGAGCTGCTGCTGCTTACAAAGGTGTGTTTGTCTGCCATCATCTCAGCTGGTTTTACCTCAAAGTTTCCACCTGTGCTGTTCTTCCAACCAGCAGACAGAAGAGTCGAACATCTGCTGTCTCAGCTCTTTCTGTGAGTTAGCGCTGTCATCAGGTTTTCACTAAGCTGTCAGATTATGCTGAACGTATGTGTGCAGAATGTGAGTTGATTTATGGACCAGAGCATTTATACACAGATGCTCAGAGCAGTGGATTCAGGTGAGGAAGGACAACACGAGACAGGTGGGAACCAGCTGTCAGGATACAGCAGGAG